GGGCTGGGGATTTGAACCCGCCACCTTAGGTGTACGTGGCTGGTGCCTTAGCCGGTTGAGCTATAGGCACCGAGCCTACTCAGCCAGTTTTAATGGCATTGCTTCAACTACTGGCCTTATCTGCCAAGTTTGATCCATTGCTTTTCCCAGGCTTGCTTAAAACACACACAGCTCTAGAGTTCTGAAACAGATTTTAGACATGAATTTGGTCTCAGCTTTGTATGATGGTTAAGGTAGGAAGTAAGACTTATTAAGCCTCAAACTAGTCTTGTTTGAGGCTTAATAACTAAGTTGAGTTACCTATAAACCTGATTTGGGGAGGGTTGGGAACACAATTATGGTGTCGACTGGTTACTCTGTAGTTCTGCTGACAACTCCCTTCTAATATGGAGATACAGCTGTCGGTAATTTTATTTCCACAAATTTTCTTTTTTTCTTTCTGTCATGATTACTCTGTCAGGTAAGTATTCTAGATTCTCAGATAGTAAGGAATTCATTAGGTGTCCTTTTTAGATGATATTAACTATTTTTCTTCCCCATCCTTCAAAGCTTGGTCATCTTACTCTCTGAAACTTTTTGTAATAATTCCTGATGAAAGCATTGTCTTTTACCAGACTTCATCATATTTCTACTGCAAAGCTGTTACAGTGATGATAATATATTTTATTTCTTAAAAGATTATAACATCTTTGGGCAGAATATATTCATATTTTCAAAGAATTTTAACTTTGCTATGTGTGGTGGGTCATACCCGTTATCCTGGCACTCTGGGAGGCCAAGGTGGGTGGATTGCTTGAGCTCATGAATTCAAGACCAGTCTGAGCAAGAGTGAGACCCTGTTTCTACTAGAACAGAAAAATTAGCTGGGTGTTGTGGTAGGTGCCTGTAGTCCTAGCTATTTGGGAGAATAGGAGTTTGAGGTTGCTGTGAGCTAAGATGAAGCCCCCTATACTCTACCTGGAGTAACAGAGTGAAAGTCTATGTCCAAAACAAAAAAGAACTCGGGGAAAAAATTTCAGATCTTGGAAGACAGTTGTACACAGAACTCTCATGTTCTCTTCGTTCAGTTACCAATGGTTAGTTTTTTCCACTTTAGCATTCTTTTTTTTTTTTTCTGGTGCATAAAGGTTGTATTGTATTATATATGTATTTTGGGAGTATGTGTTATAGTTTGATACATGTATACAATATGTAATGATCATATCAAGGCTGTTTTGTTTTATTGTAGACAGTCTCATTTGTTGCCCTTGGCAGAGTGCCATGGCGTCATAGCTCACGGCAACCTCAAAC